GGCCCTTGGCCCTGGTACTACCACCCCTTGGGAATCCCTCTTCATCGTCCTGTTCTACATATCTCCTCGAACGTCTCTCTGACGAGTAGATACGCATCGATGAATGTATAACCGGTATTATCGATGATAAGGATAATATTTGTGTGGCAGTTCGCGTCACCGTGAAGGTTATTCTGTGTGAGAACGATTTTAGATATAAAATCTAATGAAGATTCTGCAATCTGTGTTTGTAGGAATCTGTAAAGTGTTAATATTATATTGAAAATTTAAATATCAATAATACGCGCGCGGTAGAAAAAATTTGCTGGCATGGCGTATTTTTTGAAACTGTCGTGATAAACAACAAAATGTTAATCACTATATAATAGCCAAAAGTAAAAAAAAAATTCAAGTGTGTAAAAAGTTTTGTTATTACTTGTAAAATTATTAGGATGTATAAGGAAAAGTTTCCGCGCATTTTTGACAATTTTTCTTTATCAAAATAAAATGAATGGTACAATGTATGTTAATCAGAGTATTTATATCATCGTTCTCTACCACCTTTCAGACAGAATACCACATTGAAAGTCCTCCTTCAACACATGCATACAATTTATCTATCGATATGCGCGGGAACTTTACCTACACCTTAATATTTATATGTAGTTAAACAAAATTCACTCGTAAACTCAATAAAATCGGTTGCCTGCTTAATATATTGCAAGAAAGTTCAAATTTACTTTCGTAATAATTTGAACTTTGAAATCATGACGGCTAATTAACTTTCGATAATCGCGGTAGAATTTGGTGGGATTTAATCAGATTTTTATTCTGTTGATACATGATATATTGTATATAAGTGCGTAAGAATGCGGTCGGCTTACACTTTCACCATTTTCTTACTTCGTGTAAACGAGGGTAATAGAAGAACACAAGGATACGCGAAAATCGGGGGTGCGAACCCCTCGGGACGGTTTGTCCCTGCAGGACTCCCGCGGGAGACATGGTAGTTCCTGGGGTACGGAGGCGGGCCACACATCTGTCGAATCTCCCGAGAGATATCCCGCAGAAGACGCGCAGGATACACGTATTACACGGAACGCCGATGCCTCCGTCGACATCGTTACATCGCATGTTACATTGCATGTGCTCGATTCTCTGGGTAGATTACACCCCATACTTTCGCCACATGGACAGTTAAAGGGAATGGCGCGCGAAAATTTTCTGGAGAATAAGGCGCTTTTAATGACATTACATTATTCATTTTACAAAGACATATATCGATAAAAAAAAAGAACTTATTGACAAAATTGTTCACTAAAAATGTGTAAATATAATGCATACTCTCTCTCTCTAAATAAAATACAATTAAATATTATTTCTTCGTGTAAAAAAGATTTCATAGAAAATAAATGGAAAAAAAAATAAAAAATGCGTTTTCCTTAAAAAAAAAAAACGTTTCATAAAAAATAAAAAAGTACAACTGATGTTCATAAATAATGAAGAGTAATGTTACGCGAGGGATTTTTAAAAAATTTTTTGGAGAAATCGATTCTTTAAAATAAACAGGAAGGATCGTAAATCCTTCTGTTCTTAGTCGATCCTCGATCTTCAGATTTTAAATGAAATTCTTGCCGGTGCTCCTGTTCTAAACGAAACCTCGTTATCGTTCGTGCGCAGTCGTAAACTACGACATGGGACCACCGACTCTGTACACACACTTAGCGGATGCACTTGCAACAAGCACCAGGGGCAGGAGCTTGTGTATACACGTTGTGTACGCGAAGCACATGGGGACATGTACGCGGCGGCATCGTTGGCTGCCCCAGCGGAGCCGTGTCGAGGATACGACGTGGAGAACGTCCGTCCGATCCCCGGGGGGCCGCAGAAACACATCAAAATCGAATTCACCAGATGTCCAGGCCGATGCGAGACGCACCCTTCTCTTTCCCTTGCCTCGGGACACGAGGATGTCGCACCCGCTAACGACGTTCGGGGCGATGTCGGTCGCAGATGCGTTTACGACCGGCGATTTGGGGAAGGAAAAGGATTCGACTCGCCACCTGAGCTCGGCCGTCCTTCGGCAAGGGCACCTTCCTCTGGGAGAGAAGAAAAAGGAAAAGACGTGGACGAATGTAACTGAAAATTTCATTCAAAATAGCCACGATAATAATAAACTTAATTATTAGGTTTAGTTAAACGGATGACTTACTTTAACAATTAGAAGATTCGACAATTGCAAAATTTTTTCAGTTAAAGATATAAATTGTTAATGTAAAGATATATTAGATTTTTTAACTCAATGATTTTCTCGCGTTACCTCTCTCTTTAGTTTATATTTTAAATAATATACACTTTGTTAATTCATATTTAAATTTTTTGAAGATATTATTTAAAATATTTTTACAAGAAAAAAAGAGAAAGATTTAGAAACTATAAAATTCAATTAACTCGCATTTAAATTTAACTATGGATTCGATATCAATCAAGTTTTTTATCACAATAAAAGAGAATGCAGAGTATAGACATTATTTCAAAAAAAATATAAACCACGACGTGTAAAATAAGAAATGCTGTGGAATGTAAATGTCGTATTTAACGAAATTTCAACGGAATTTCAACGATGGATTTGCAAGCGGGATATGGCGCCGTTGTTGTAATTCTGTTACGTCATCATATGCGGCGAGCGTGTACCTGCTTTTCGCTTTGAATTTTTTCGCGCACGTCATTCCGGTATTTAGCCGGATTGCCTTTTGAATAAGTCCAACGCGCTTTTTGACGCGCGAAAAAAGCGCACGCTGTGTTAACCGGTCGACGCGACGTAGGTACACACACACACACACACACACACATTTAGCGTAGCGTAACGTAATGCACAGCGTAATGTGGCACGGTTGATTGGCGGCATATAAACGCGACAACTGCACGCGAAAGCTGCGCCCAAAAGCATATGCAAATATACACAAGAAATCTGACACAATTTATAAACTCTACATGTCTCTCTCGAATATATGAGAGAAGAATTGATTTCGATTTAAAATGGAGAGTCATCGCAAAATTTCTCGGATCACCGCGATTATTATTTCTCTTCGCGTGGATTTCATCTTTTCAAGCAGGCAAGTCATCTTTGCCACTTGATATCTACGAACACTTTACCGCGTGACAACTAATAATTTCTTCGTCCTGTTTAAAGGCGCGATCTGACGCCGCGCGCTACTAACAGGTATGATAAACTGTCTTCGGTGACTTTCTCTGTGTTTCCCCGATACGTGTGTCGAATCCACAGCGAGGTATCACGTCGCAGCTTATTAGGATAATGCTACTGAAATCGTCGCGATGACAGTGACACGCCGAATGACGTCTGTCTTTGATAATCTGCAAGGAGATCGAAAACGGTGACACGCGCCAGTAAAAAAACGTAAATGATCACTTACCTTATTAACTTCCGTCATCAGGCGGTTTCTTGCAGCCGTCTACCGTTATCTATATCTGATCGCTGTTACACAGATACGCTCTTCTAATTAGCATAAATCGAAGGATCTATCGCGCTAATAATGTTCTTGATCGACCAATTGCAATCAATATTAACGCAGTTATTGAAGCGACAGATTTTAAGTAAAGAATATCAGGTCTAGATTTTACGAATTATTCGACTGTACTACGAATGAGATTTTCGTAAGGACGAGTAATATATAGAAAATATATTATTAGATAATTATTAAATAATATTATTTGGCATCTCATTGGATTAATTTCTTAATCGTCTAATTTTCTTTTGTATCTTGTGATTAAAATAGAATTAATAAACGAGTGGACCATTCTCGCTAAACAAATAATAAATTATGTGTCATTAATCATCATTAGTCAAATTCCACTGTCCTACGCAACGTCATTCGCTCAGTCGAAGGAAAACTATCGCGCGTCGGTCAGAAGGAAATGAAATGCACAGCTCCGGTATACGGAAATACGAGGTGGTTTATTATAATAGTATTTATAATCGTTATGCGTCGCGGCGGCGCATCTCTTTCTCGATCTGTCTTACGCTCGATGTTGTTGCGTCATAATATACATATATATTGTGACTATGTGTTGCATCACAGTATACATATATATATATATATTTTTTTTACTTTCTGTGGCGTAAGTTCGCGAAGGAAGTCCAGCCGTCTCGAGCAAATCGGCACGCGCGCATTTTAGCAAAGAGAGAGAATAGAGTGTGTTTTCTGAGTGTTCCTCGTGTATTTACATCGATTTCGCCGCTCTTAACAGATACAAATTACACGTTTCCTATTTATATTTATACTTTAATGATAATATTAGTACAGCGCGTGTCCAAGTGTGTGGATACGTGTATCCGTGTATCTGTTCGTATGCACGTGTGACGTTGCATGTAAAATGTGTATACGTGTCTAGCGATCAGTGTACGCGTGTCTTTATCAGGTGTACAACAGCAGATATCTACAGGGTGTCTCCAAAATAACGTCGAGAAAAGAAAATAAACAACAGGGAGGGGTACAATATTACACGATAGGGACATCTTCGAATTTTATACACAATAATAATAATCAATAATTAATAATATTAATAATAATGAAAATAGTAACGTCTCGGCGTCGCGGCGCCGAGGTGCGTAATCAATAGCGATAATAAGCGTCGACCGTGCGTCGACGACGATAACCGTGAATCGAGGCGCGCGCGGACAGACGCTTCATATCTATATCTTACACAAAGAACCGAGTCGATATTTCTCACGACTCGGTCGCAATCGCGAAACGGAAACAATGGAAAGGACAGGGACGAAAAGAACCGGGAAAACTGGGGAGTAGGTAGGAAAGCAACGAAGCGCTGAGCTTTCCGTCGCCCTCCGGACTCGAATGCTGCGGACTCCGCAGTCGCAGCCGCAGCAACCGTCGTCGCCGTCGCCGTTCCTCGCTCTCGCTCTCGCGCTTCGGCGGCGCGTTCTCGCGATCCCGTTCGGTTTTAGGCGCGCGGGCGGAATTGTTATTATCATAAAAGGGACGTTAATTAAAACTCGTACTACCAGGCGAGCCCTTCGCTCTGCATCTGGTGCGAGGATTACCCTGCCCTCCACCTGGGAACAAGCGAACGCGCACGGCGTCGATGCCAATTAAGATTTAAATCCCACAGCGCGTAGTGCAACGCGACGCGACGGACTCAGCCGGCGGCCGGAAGTCCCGTGAAAGTCGGCGAGACAATCCGCCGCCGGCAGTTTATAAATATTAACGCGATCTCCGATAGCTGCACTACGCTTTATATATCTCATCGTTGTTGCATCTTTTAAATAAAAACGACTGCCACCGACTCCTCTTTTTGTCTTATCTATTGCATGCATGCCATATCTGTCATACAAGACAGCAAAAAAAAGTCTAGGTCAGTTTTATTTTGAATAATAAAAATTCTTAAATAATTTCATCATAGACAAATACAAATTACTTCTGAATTTACAAAATCGGATTCTCGAATGTATTAAAATTGTTGAAAGTCCCGAATAACTAAATATTTAAAATAATCCAAAGCAATTTGATATACGTTGAATCCATCGATAGTTCTAAAACGCGAATATTATCAGATATAAATAATAAATGTCTATATGAACTACCTAATTATTGATACGTAAATAATATATATATTAGGCAATAATATGATTCGCGAACAATTGAAATGTACTTACCAGTTAATTGCAAACGTTAAGTTGAGGCGGACTTAAAATCCAGACGCGAAAAGTTTGCAAATTAATTTTGTTGGTAAGTACATTCCAATTGCTTATAAATTATATCTAATCGAATTACAGATATATTTAGCAACAACCCCACAGACAAGCTCATATAGGCATCTTATTTGATTTATTCTTGGAGGCGTAAAACTATTTTTATTTATATTTGAATCGAATATTATCATTCTCGAGCAAAACAATAGGTTGCTATAAAGTTAAAGTGACATAAAAATGACTTAACAATCATTTTGACCCACTTCAACGACATTTTGATGTAACTATGACTTTTTGTTCCGCTTAGGATTATTTTTTACAAATATTTTTTATATTATAACGTAACATTTTGCTGTCATATACATATTTTAATGAGTAATAGATAAAAGTATCACTTGCGAAATTTTCGAAGTTGATTTCAGGCTGCCAGAAGCCACGTTAATCACGTTAAACGCTATTTTATACGTACTATGGTTATTAATGCGACTATCACTAACTGCACTTTCCTCGACGAATTAATAACGTGCATATATATGTGCAATTTGATTGATACGCCGGTGACAGTCGAATAAGACGCATATGCGTATCTGACGCGCGTTAGAAAATGTGAATTTCAGTTAGACGTATCGCAAAAGGTCACGCCAGGTGATTGCCAGATCTCAATTATCCATACGACAGGCTCAGAAAGAAATGACATTCACGCTGCTGTAGTGCAACTTTGTTGTAGAAAATTCTAGTCGACTAGAAATCTCTCTCGTGCGCGCGTCTTTCGTGCACGAAATAACATCGCGACGGTACGTGAATATAATAAGCGCGATGCTGCACGATAAAAATGATACCGTGTGCGAAAGGTTAAACAGTAACGTATAATTTTCATTTCAACGTGAAATGTTGAATAGCGTGAAACAGTTTCAATTCGATATCGCGAGACTAAAGCGTTCCTAATTAACACGACACGGCAACAGAGATATGTATAATAAATCGTCACGAATAATCGTCACGAAGCAGGCAAAGTGAACGTTATATAATCTTTTTCTCGACTACTGATCTGTGCGTATACTATCGAAAATGAAATTGAAAAAAAAAAAATCAAGACAGACGTTAATATACATTTACATAGAGAGAAAAGATATTGATGTTTAATTCGGAGGAAAAAAGTTACTCGACGTTTTTCTCTATAAAGAAACGACCTGTGCGGAATATTATTCTTTAGTGCGAGAAGCAGGTCGATCTCCTTCAAGCGCTTGCGAGTTAATGGTTGCCGCCGCATCGCGAAAACAACGCTAATAAATCGGCGCGAGCGCAAACATAAAGTCCGCTCGCGGGCAGACCCAAGGTAGATCGGCGATCGCGATTCGGCCGATTTTCGGTGGTAATGGTTCGGAGGGGATATTTCCCTCTTACCTGAAGGTGCCAGGAACTCTCCGGGGCTGCCGCCGGTGGGCGCAGGGGGCCCCTGCCCGGGGGGCCCCGTGAGAAATTCCGGAGGGCCGCCCCCCGCACCCGGAGGTGGGTATTCCCCTGCCACCGCCACTGCGGCTGCCATGCCCGCTAAACTGGCCGGGTCCAAGCCTGTCAGAAACAGATTACGTACTGCTCTCAGAGGGGATCTCGTATCCGCTCGGCCATCTCCGAAACCGGCTGTCATAATTATCGCGGGGGCCTACCTACTTGATTCGAGGTTTATTATAATTACGCGAGATTCCGGGACTAGGCTCTCCGGGCTTCGTCTTTCGTAGAGATCGACCGTTTTTTACTTAAAGTTTTTGTGATCGAGACAAAAGCCCCATGATTAATAAAACAGTGGAGTTTCTATGCAGAAATTCGATTTTAAAAGACACCAAAAAAATTTTGATGAAATATTTACGTAACACAAGAGACGAATTCGATACTTTTCAAGTTTCCGCGTCGACTCTAGTCTTGCATTTTTCTGCCTCAAACGCAATACTAGAATTTATCCTAGCTTTAACGTAAAAAATAAAAGGAAAATAATCATCGGTGATGGCAGAAGATTCACCTGGATTTCCCGTACCGGCAAAATGCGGTCCATGTGGATGCGGGGGCGGATGCGCGCCGAAGAACTCGTGATGGAAGGCCACCGGGCCGCCGTAGCCGAATTCGAACTTGTCCGGGCCGAAATACGGGAAACCGGGCGGTGGTCCATCCTCGCCTCCGAGGGCGCCTGGATTTAGATTCAGCGGGAACCCGCGCATCTTACGCGAGCCCCCGAAGAAGGGGTTCCTGCCCATCGACGTCAGCTGCTTCAACCTGCGCTCCTTGCTCCTCTTGTTCTGGAACCAGACCTGAAACCAGCGAACCGGCCGCCTCTTTAATCGCTGAATTATTTAACGATCATCTCCCTTTCCTTCGCTGCCTTTTGATTTTGAGCGCACGGTTGTTTTACAATATAAAGTGCTCTAAGAATGGATATTATAGTATGAGAGTTTTTAAAAAATGTAAAAAAATATATTCAAGTCATCAATTTCTCTTTATTGTTTCCCGTTTCTTATATTTCATCACTGCTGCATATATAAACAGGCATAGAGTTTTGAAAGAATATGGGTCTTAAAACATGCGATTCTTAGTCCATTTTATTTTAAGATTCTTTTACATTCTAGGACATGAGAAAATCGTGGTAAATAATTTTTTATCGATTATATATTGTAAATTAACCGACGATCTTCTGTTGCAAAATTATTTCTCGGTAAGTAATATGACGTGCCGAGTGAATTATTCTGCGGCAAATGGTTTGTCTCGACGCGGTTTTTTTCCCTACTTGTGATGGCGAAGGATTTCTGAGCGTTGCATCGCTCTTAACAGCGATTTAGATGCCAGCCGCATAAAAGCGCCGCCGATAGCACGAATCGCGATTCACTTCGATATAAATAGCAATTTTCTTCATAAGCTAGAGAATCGAATGCCTGAGTAGCAAGTCTCGGAACAAAAACTGACATAGTAAGGGAAAAACGAGGAAATTATTGTTCTTATTTATCATTAAAATATAATTATTTTTTATTATTAAATTATCAACTCCAATCTAATTAAAGGTTTTTTAAGTGTATTTGTAAAAGTGTAACAAAATATATAATATACGAGTAATAAAATTGTTCCCTTCATTTCGTGCTGGATTTTAATAAAACGCAGATTTTCTTTGTTCATCAAAAGTGATAAAAATATTTAGTTAAATGATAGCGCGATCGACTTTGTAAAGAAACTTTTCGCAAGGAGAAAATAAGTAGATATAATGATAGAGAAACGAGAGAAATTTTAACGCAAATGTGACGAGAGAGACACCTTTCTCACCTGTATGACTCTCATGGGCAAGCCGGTTTCTTTCGCCAATTGCTCCCTGATGTGTCTGGTGGGCTTCGGAGTCGACGAGAAGGCCGTTTTCAAGATCTCCAATTGTTTCGCCTTTATAGTGGTCCGTGGGCCGCGTCGCTTCGAACCGGCGCCGCCGTCGCCGCTGCCACCGCCGGCACCGCCGTCCGGGCTCTTGTTCTCCGTCTGGCTGTCCCTCGTCTCGGGATCGCCGTCCAGGGAACCTTCAACCGATCGAAGCCGAGCTGCCGCATCACAATCGTATGACGATCACCTGGGGCCTATCTCGCGCAAAACTCGCCAACGATCGCCAGCGAAATCAGCCGTTACGAGAAGTTCGTGTCTTTCGCGATAGCGAGTTTCATGTCTGCCCGCTTTAAATACAATATGGCAGGAAACCTAATTCTCGAGAAGATAGGGACATGGACTTTTCTAGGATGACTCGTTCGCTTTCTGTTTCCCGAAATTCCTGAGTCGAGTTGCAGCCGGAATTTTAATAAGTACGTGAAGAACAATTTGTTCTTTTCTAAATTATAGTTTTAGGTGCGTTATATAAATAGGATAATAGATACAATTTATTCCGTAAAACGAAAGTAAAGATAAATTGCCCGGTAATCGCTAGACCTAAATTTCAAAAATTAAGGAACCATTATTTCTAGATCAAAATAATGATTCCTTAATTCTGTATTCTCAAACCCTCAATTTTTAACAGAAACGAGGCTGTCATTTCGCATACGATTTATAGAGACAAGTTACAAAGGTATCGGAATTTCTAAAAAAAAAAAAAAAGCTGACACAATATTTTCAATGTTACGCTGCACGTTTGTTATTACTCAGTTGATAGCCGAGAGATAGTCAATTTCTTAATCCCGAACTATGCGTATCCGCTGACGCGTGACTCGTTGGTAACCCAGAAATGACTTGTCATCCTCGGGACACGAGTCATCATTACGTTACGGGAGTTTCTAAGCTACGCCCGTCGAGTTGCGATCTCTCGTACCGCGATGCTAGAGTTAAATTTTTTTGAAAAACGTATTGTCGATCAGAAAGATCAAGAGCCTATCGCGCACAACTAACGGGTGTCTCGAAGCGAATGTTAAAAACAACAGTCTCAATAATAGTATAATATATATGTAAAACGACGATTATTTTTAATATTAAATAATTTTAACAAATTTCAGAATGCAACGATATAACTAATTTTTTTATAAACACGTTAATTGATCTTTTATCTAACACGTAATTTATAATCCATTAAATTTTTATTTGACCTAAATAAAAAAAGGTCAATTAATGGAAGCCAATGGACATTTCAAGGATTTCAACGCGGACGCGATGGCTTCCCGACAAACGCGCGCGGAGGGATAATCGACTGTAGATTCGTCGAGGTAATCGTAGCTGAGAGGCCACGCGGTAGGTCTAGGACACCCCGTGTATCCCGGTATCTTCATCGGTCGGATCGAGGTAACAACAATCGGAGCCAATCCCCCGGAAGCGATGCGAAACCCCCATCGGATTATCGTGGCTGCTGCCGCGCGCGCACGCTGAAAGCCGTACCCCACACATACGCGTGCACATTGCATAGTATGTCACCACACACGCGTATGTATAAGTCCCCGGCTCTCCACGGTAATCTATACACTACACGTATATGTGTATACCGGGTAGGTCTTAACCGCGGGACAAAGAAAATGTTTGGACAGTGTCACACCGCACTACGGGGGCCACCCCTCGTGAAGACGTCCATTCCCTCCTTTCCGCCACGATCGGGGGCAACGAGGCTCTTGTATTGCGTGGTTGTATGAGACTCGTGCGAGGGTGAAGCTAGTTGGTGTATGGCTAAAGGACCGATTGTTATGTGCGCGATAAAAGAGCAGGAGCGATATAATGGGCTCGAGACAGCTCCTGGGCGAAGCCCTCAGCGATTTTGTGACGTCGCGATGCCGCGGATACGTATTCGCAAGGTTTCCAAGGATGACGTGGTGACACGTGGTTCCGAGGGTAGCCCTATCAAGTCGCTAATCGATTGCTCTTGATCGCGTACTGTGGGGTAACTTACGGCGTGTGAATATCATCTTATAGTTAGTTTGCTTGCACTTTGCTAATATATAAGTACCACGCGCGTACGTGATACATACGGAATGTCTAATCACTGTAATCGAGATGACAGCTTAGATATTTCACGCGTGCACTTTGCCCTTTACGCTTGGCTGCGCGATATTGACTTTCGTTTACGATCCTTCACTACTTTTCTTTTTTGCGAGATTTATCTTTCGTCTTTTGCGTTTGACGTAATAAAGACGTTTTCTTGTTTTACTCAGAGGCAGTCTATGCTGCGTAAAACTGTCTGTATCGTAAAAACATGTATCTCCATTTTGCAATATTTATATCGCTTACACACATCGCTTATAAATGCGATTAAAGAGATTAAAGAGAACTTTCCAAGCTATTCACAAAGAAATATTTATAGCGCCTAGCTATCGGGTAACCAAAAAAATCTATTCTTTTTCAAAAACTAATAGAATTTTATTTTATTTATCAAAGTAATAGGATTTTCTCTAAAAGGTTTCCAGCTTATGAGAATAATCGATTTAACTTAACACAAGATTCTTTACAGATTCTTGCGCATAACTGCACTACTCTCTGCCACACAAAATAATTCTCGTAAATAATTTTTTTTTCCAAAAGAAAATTGCACGAGAGAAAACTTTTTTATTACGCTATTAAGTATTTCATATTGCTTTATCTTCAGCAAGTGAGTCAGGACTTACCTTGATCCTCGGAGTCCTCCTGCTTACAGGGATCGCTACCGAGAGGTAGTTCGCCACCGTGGCCGACGGTCTGGTCACCAGGACCACCCGAGCCAATGTTATGGGTCCCGAGGTGAGCACCACGTACGGCCGGATCGTGATGATGATGGTGAGCACTACCGTCCTCGTCCTCGTCTTCCGATCCTGAGCCCATCAGCGAGTCTCCGCCTGCCGACAGGTTGGACGGTTCTGCTCGTGAACGACGCGAGACACCGGCCTTTTTAATAACATCGACCAACAAACTGCTGATTTCGAAAATAACAATTGCGACAGTTTTTATTCGGGTATCGTCGCAGCTCGCTCGCTTGCACAGAAGCATCTCAATTGCCATCAACAAGATTCTTCAAACAATAAGTTTGTCTACGTTGCTTGAAATCTTCAAAAGCTTTTTGCACTTAAAATTATCATTAAGAATAGAGAAAGAAAAGATACTGATTGTGAGTGCAAAAAAATGCAAACAATGCGAACAGATTTAAGGGTTGCCAGAAATTTTTCATCCTAAAATTTCACAACTTTTTCATGATTTTCCTAACCATTTTCAATTTCTCTGGTGGCATTTCTATGATTTTCAGTTTTGTGACTTGCTAATGATAATGGTCTTTGAAGTTATATATTGTATAGCTACATATATCACATAAAAGATTAAAAACTTTTACAAGATAGTAAAAAAATTTATCTTATTTTCTAATAGAACAGTTATTTTCTTAGTGCTTCTGTGCAACTGCGAAATTGTTCAAAATCAGCGGTTGAATTTTTAGAGAGCATGCAAGAACAAATTACAGATTGTCGTGATATGGATATTATTAATATTCAAGTGAGTATAGTTCCATTTAAGTAATTAAGTAAAAATCTTAATTAATGTTCTGTTAAAAGTTTCGCTTGAAACAATGAGACATCTGAACGAGATGGAATCGATTAATCTTCGATATTACGATCGATTGACATTTACGTATCATACATTTATGTATAGAATGATTAAAAATGAGTTATTCGCATATTGACGTAATTATTCTACGATTTATCAAGAGATAGTAATTGCACTTTATTGACAGAAAGTATAATAATAATGTATAACATCGCGATATGTAAATTAATATTCTGTATTCGAAAACTTTAAGAAGCGCATTCAAACAATTACATATTTCTGTTCGGGCGTAATTAAATTGCAACTATCTCAATTTTAAAGTACGTGCGAGCGGCAAGTAGCGCATTGAAAGTCAGCTTTTGCCTACCAGATTTAATGGCGGCGTTGCGCACGAAATACTCCCGACGTAACGTATTTTACGACGGGAACCGCCGAAAAAATGGTGTCTCCGGATATTAATCGTCTCTACGAGCATAATTACCGTGCTCTCGTCTCGCGCCGCTGAGAGAGAGAACGATGGCCGCGGATTCGACAACCGGCAAATGGCCGAGCGGATGGCAGAGATTAATGTTGAAAAAGTGTCGGGCATCAAGACGGTCATGTCGCTTAATCATCGGCCCGAAATCATCCTGAAGGCTCGCGTCAACATTCTGCCCCCAGTTGCGCGTCGAATTCGTTCTCCACGCGATGAAGATTTCGAGCAGTACTCCATACCTGCCTCTATTGTTCTCGCCGGTTATCAATAATCAGTAGTTGAGGACGGAGGTAAAAAAATAATCGGTGGTGTTCGTAAAGAAGGTAAAACAGATACCAAAGACATTTATATTACATAATCATCTAATGCATACAACTCAACTAAATATAAATCTATTCATAAATGTATTTGCATACATCACGCTAAGAAAATATCTCTTTTTATATTTTACAGTTATTTTCAGCAATACATTACTACTTTTTGATTTTGTTATTTATATAAATAATAACTTTTATTTGTTATTTTTGATTTTGTCGTTTCGATTTTTACTGCATTTTTTTTTTCTATTGGTTAATTCTTTTCCGTGAAATTTAACTGTAACACGTCGGAACGGATTCGAAAAGAATCATAGAATCTTTCCGCGAAGGCAGCTTCTCGGAGTTGACATTTGACGCGGCTTACGTATTCGTTCCTGCGTCCGCAGGTATACGCCCCAAGAACCCTCGTGTCGCCGACAACAGCGATGACTACGACGACGATGACGACGACGACGACGACGATGCTTCACGCGAAACTCATCGACAGCGAGTCGGCGCGCGGCGCGGCGCGGCGCGACGCGGCTAAGACGTAAATCATTTCGCAGCGCTCTCCCGCGCTCGACGGCTGTCCCACGACATTGTCTCACGTACGGCGGACACACAACGGGATCCATCGGGCCTTCGAGATCCCCGGGAGAAAAAGGCGGCCAGCCAAAGAGAGAGATGAAAACGGGTTGTCGGTGCGTTTTGCGGTTTCGGCTACGTCGGCAACGGAACGACAAAAGGTTCGCCCCCTGCCTAACGACCTTTCGGTTTTCGTTTCACGGCTTATATACGAGTGGGGCCCTCGTGAAACCGAGCTGGTCTGCCCTCTCTCTCGTGCCATCGTTTTCATTTCTGTCTATCTCCCTTTTCGGCCGGTGGTTCACGGTGGCATACGCGCCACGCTGTTTTCACAGCTTGCCGCTCTCTCTCTCTCTCTCTCTCTCTCATTTGGGATAGAAACTCCCGTGAAAAACCTGCCCTCTCCACCCTTCTCACCCTGACGGTCCTACCCTTTTTTTTTTAAGCTGATCCTGACTCCGTGAAATCCGTGGCGGCGTGCGCGTTGAACTGTGACCCCCTCGACCTCGCCGCTCGAAAAAAATAAATCCCGAAATTCTGAGCCACTCGAGAAATGGGTCCCGTCGCGTCGGTCTTTGTAGGAATGCTCGAATTTAAAGGGATATCGATGCCTCGCATTTATATGATATTAACACCGTGTGTAACAAATATGTCGAGACTTTTGTTCATTTTGACTGCGTTCGGCAGAGAAAGCAGCTTTGCGACTGTAAAATCCTTTAATGTAATTGGTTCTTAATTCCTCACTGGATCCAAATGTATAAACCAATCGTATTAAAAAAAAAAAAAAACTTTATAACAGATGCTTTTTCTGCTGAACGCAACTCTTCTCTTTCTGAGATTCTTTATACATAATACTTTGTTTTAGAGAAAGCATCCGAGTAGTTCTGCAACACGCGCGAATATTTCTTCTGCTTCAATCGGCATCGAAGCATCGGGGCTTTCCGGTTCTCCGATAAAACTCCGTCGGAACGTCGAAGATCGGAAGAACGGGCTGTTTCTCGACTTCGGGATCGGCGAGGCGGCGGGCTGCGCGCGATAATTTATGACGGCCTCTCTTTCTCGCGAGCGGCGGATAAAATTATTTATCGGCAACGGGAACGGAAACGACGGAGGCGATCGTAAAACGCGCTCGCACCAGATCGAACGAGAGACCCGAGAGAAGACAGAGGGGGTCGAGCGAGGAGGAGCTGTCGCGATAATACGCCCTACCCCTCTCTGGACAGCGGCGCCGCGTTCCGGTGACAGCGGTGCGGAGATCGATATAATGGAAAGCGATTGTGCGTTGACTTTGTTTGCACACCGAGTCGAGCGTGTGCCAAACGCGATTTCGCGCGAATTTTCGAGCCGCGATCGATCGCCGCGTGCCGCTGACAGCCACGTGCCACGTCGAAATCGCGGCGTAACAGCTCGCACGACATATTTAGGCCGTACCGCTGAAGACCGAAACTTTAATATGCAGCCTTTAATACGTTTCTACAATATTCACTTTTTTAAATCAATTGTACTTTATCGATAGAGAAAGAGATTTCGCGTTGAGAAAATTTTTCTTTCAGGTAATTTCGACATCTCACAATCAGAGAGTAGTCATAGCACGATTATTACCTAAGCATCATGGAGGAAATATATTAGGAATATAGGAATGAATACATCAGAAACACTGTATTCTGGTGAAAGTAATTAGATTAATATGTTAATACTTATTTTTATTCCTCTAATATTTCCTCCATTTTTGCACAAGACTAAGTCAACTTATCCTTTTACGATTTTATAACGCCAACTTTTTAATAGCATTAAATTATCCGCCAACAATGTTAGGTTTTAAAAGCGTAGTCAAGACTTTTTATGTATTCTCTCGTTAATAAGTTTAAATCTATATAAAAAATAAGCAAAATACAATTAAGAAAAGACTTATGTTACGGTAAATTCATTGTTAAAGTTCTTACGAATGATTTTGGCAAATTTTTATACAGTTCGAAGAAGAATATGAAAATCTACACTCTAAAATTTGAATATCCAGATCGCGGATGAAGAGTGAAAATTTCATATTGCTAAGTTCGGTTTGTTAAAAAAACGATATCAATAAATATCCATATCCGATAATATCTGATATAAAAAATACAAAGTTATGTTAATACGTGTGTATACATGTATCCAATTTAAAAAAATTAATCAAATGATACAATTGTTAAGCTTCATACGTGCTCATAAAAGCTTATCCCTAAAATATCGTGATCATATTATCGAGCACCAGCGATTAGAAGCAATGTGAGATTAGTCTCGATATCGATTCGTAACAGATAAGTATAGACAAACACAGAGACCACGTGGATTCTCAGGATATCGTTTAAATTTAAATCCCACGACGAATCGATCTGCAAACGGAGCGGACAGTGTACACAGACGAACTGTGATACTCTGAAGTGCCTCCTCTTCGTGGACTAACTTTACTTTCTCGATTCTGTTTGCTGTTTCGATCGTAGAATTATTTATTAACTCCACCATGGATAACAGAAGAATCTAATTATTTGACGTAGCCGCAATTTAATTTCCTGCACGAATTATACGCGAATTTATTATGCAAAAATTAACTTCGTTTCGTCGCGTTTTTGTCGCAGGATTCAAACATGTATAAATAAGTGAGATAATATGATCGCATCGAGATAATATTGTTATGCGAGATGGCTGAAGATAATAACGAAAGGGTAGTGCAGTTTTGACTCACCGTGATGACCGTGCACGTGATGCGTGTCCGGCAGCGGTTTGCCCGACAGGTAGTCTTGCTTGCAAACGAACTTGTTGTCGTCCAAGACGTAGAGCTCCTCGCCCGTGCTCATCTGCTTCCGACACACCAGGCAGGTGAAGCAATTCAGGTGGAAAACTTTGTCCCTCGCTTTCCTCACAAGGTCCTGCGGGTTTATCCCTTGGAGGCAGCCGCCGCACTTGGTGCCGTATCGCCTAGAAAAGCAAAATACAGATTTATTGCTGGTGTACTGACGAAAGGACGGATAATGAGCGCGTGGGTGTTCCAAGTGCCGAAGAGCTTGTTCCTACGCGTCGTAACGAGATATAAATCTCCACGTGTATCTTGATTTTCTTCAAATATAGTAGAAATAAGTAAAAAAAAGTGATATTAACGATATTACCATATATTATATATTGAATTACGACTAAAACCGTGAGATTAAAACATCGTTTGTCCGTTGCGAATTTACGTCACGGCGCAATTTCTGTGGGGGAGGAAAATTTCCGTATTTCTAAACTATAGCCAGACTATACAGATAATCCTAGTTAATTTTCCAATTTTTCTTCAAAACTTGTCGAAGTGTCAGCGGGGACGTCTAGCGAGTTAAGAAAGATTAGTATTAGACATAAAAGATACCGAGGGGGAAGTTAATCACAAGTCCTCCGATTTTGCGATTTCTCGCACTTTCCTTCTTTTTCGCGAAAACATACTCTATCCCGCGACATTGTAATTTCGTCGTGGCGCGTTAACGCGAACCCCTAATCATTAAACCACAAGTATCGCCGTGCAACGTATTATTATCACACGTACGACGCGCGGCTGTCGATGATTTTTCCCAAAGGCGCCATGGATCATATTTCTCAGCTCGATAACAGACCTCTCACGGAAAATAGCGAGGCGCGATCTTTTTTAATCTGCAATTTACTCCGCGAAACTCCAAAGTGTTGTACACCGAAATTATTTCGACGACTACACGAAGGGTTGGCGCACGCCGCGCTCAATAAACGCCTTCGATTGCCCGAGTTGACTGTAGAACTCATAGAATGTGAAAGTTACAAGTTCTGTTTGTAACTCAGTCGGACCGCAAACGTCGATGAAAGAAATACAGTGCTTTTAAAGAGATGGCGGTTTAATGTTCCGATCCGGTATAAAAAGTCGAGGCCCTACCGTGTCGTAAAAACGTACCGCCGCTCCGCCCGATATTTTTTTTCTTCCTCACCGAATCGTTAAGCGCCTTGCTTTTTTCAGACGCTTTACCGATCTCTCGTTAAATGTTCTTCGTCGCGTTGCGTCATTAAAAACTTAAATCATACTAGTGCTGTCATAATTGTAAAAAGTCTTTCAAAGAAATTGCAAAATTATGTTATAAATTAAAGGAATGTATTGTAGAATCATACAAATTGAAAGGGGAAATAATGTAAAACTACAAAGATTAATTAACAAAATCAAACTAATCAAGAAATCGTGTAGAAATAAATTTTTAAAATTAAATTGTAGAATATTAAACTTAGTAAAATTCTAAACTAAAATTAGAGTAAAATTATATAATTATTAAAAATATAACTATATATATAAAACGTTGAAATTATGGGATTACAAAAACCAATAAAAAGAATAGAAAGGATCGGAAGAATAGTTTTCCGGTTGACGCGTTTCTCAATCAAGCCGGAACAATCGTCAAGCCAATATAGGTATATCTTTGTGACTGTATCATTATAGTGGCAGAAGCTACACTCTTCTAACTGGCAATCCGGATCGATCTAACTATAGCAATCACGCAATTAATTATAGCAATTAGCTGGAGCCCTTAGGGCTGGCGTGTTCCGAGGAGCGGACGTCTCAATCGATTCCCCTTCCTCATCCCGTCGTCGTTACGCCAACAATAAACAAGTTAAACGCGGATGGCAGATCGTCGGAGAGATCACGAAATCGGTCGCTTATTAGCAATTCGGTAGGGCGATACTTATCGACCTGCCTTTCGATACTTTGTAATCTACGCCATTAGCAGCATCAATCAAAGGCGATGAGATTGAAAAGCGTAAGAATTAAGTATTATATTTTACAAATATAAAAATGTCGAAATCCTCTTCTAAAAACTATATTTTTATACATATTCTCACCTTTACTATTATCGCAATTTACTTTTGACATTGCGTGTGTTATGCGTTTATTTAACTGTAAAAAAATATTTTTTTTTTTTATTACTTGTGACTCCGATTTTAAACTCATAGTCATTTGTTAATTTAATATCTACTCAATTGCTCACACACTCGCTAGTTTACAAACGTTAAAATGTATGGAAACAAGTGGACAAAATGTAAAACAGTGCACGCGTATTAATAGCAATTTTTTTTTAAACTTGAATTTCTCATTCAGCAATGTTATTATCGCGCAATCGACCATAAAAAGTACGTACTACTCGTAAAGCACGTAGAAATAGGAGGCGCAACGCCGCGCCGCCGCCGGGGAGCCGTGACCCGGACGCCGCTTAAGAGTCATTGTTAGCCTAATTGTTCTCGGTGTACCTGACGGTAGACGCGCGGCGCGTTCGCGTCTACGCGCAGTGCATCGACGTTTGAGCGTTTGAGCGCACAATAAATCCCGTGGAATCTCCCTTTATTGACTGCTGCCGGGTGCCGTATCAAGCGACCCAATTCGCCGCGCTTTATTACCAAGTAGACGCGTGACGTTCGACGGGAATGCAAGTGCGGGGCGTCTCGCGACGCGTCGTCGCGTCGTCGAACGAAGAAAAAAAAAAGAGGAGAAAACGATCGCAAACGTGCGACGATGTTACATTTGCACTCCGTATTTAACGTGCGACTCTATTAATCGATATTAACTAATTCATGAATCGCGTGAATCATTAATGCTCTCTCACTCCATTAATTGCTAAGCACTCCACGCACCTCTAATCCTCGAACGTATTGTTCGTAATATTTCCGAACTTGTCTAAAAGTCGCAATATACGTGTGATTTAAATTATTACGTATTGTAATAACGCCTAGTTTTTCATTTTCTGATTGGCTTATAATTAGACTTAATCTGGTAATATAAAAATTATATTTTGCTATAGTTAATCACTGAACTGATGGTTTTGTAGTGTAGAATTACTTTTGAAGTTACCACTATAAAACATCATAAGTTAATCAGAAAATGAAAAACTAGACCTAAAATATTCGTTTCTACCAATGTAGTTCATCTCGGTTCAATTGATTCTCCATTTTTTTTTCAACTTCTAAGAATTAGAAAAAGATGAAGAGTAAGTTGAATCGGGATTAAAGTTAATCTACATTGATAGAAACGAGCATAAGAAGACTTTCATCTCGCGTGGAGAAAGAGAATGTAGCACGGATGAATAGAAAAGATAAAAATTTCATAACTCACATCACACACAGCAAGTTCTAATATACGATGCGAAAATCACATTTTGCATGTGACATATTGAAAGTGCATCGGATAATTAATTTGCCTTTAATGGAAATTAAATATTTCGGCTAATAGGAGCGGGAATGCGCTATATGATGCAAACAACAAATTAAACTACGATCGCAAAACGAATTAATTATTAGAACGTTTTGTGAACGATGAAATGTAATAGTTAAATAAACATTTTATCACGAGTGCCTCGTTCGTTTTTTTGCATTCTTTTTTCGCGTGTTACGTTTGCCATCCTGATGAATTTTTCTTGGGATTCATTTTGATATTAATTATACCATATCATCGCGTTGCTGCGTCTCGCGTAAATCCGTAATTCGACACTATCGCCATTTAACAGACGAATAGCTTTCAAATACGCGTGAAGCCATTGACGGATCGGCAATTATTCATCGTGCTCGTCGCACCCAAGAACTTGACGCAACGCGTAGCTTCTTTCTCTAATCCGCTTCGCATACCGCGAGCGTTTCTGTGAGGTTTCCCACCGCAGCCTTTAACCGCCTCTGAAATATTTTACGTCCCGCGGTTGACGTGCATTTCGCGAAAAAGAAGAATGAGAATGAAAAAGAAAGAGCGAGAGAAAGAGACAGAGATGGAGAGAGAGAGAGAGAGAGAGAGAGAGAGAGAGAGAGAGAGAGAGAGAGAGAGAGTCAAGCAACGGAAAACGCGCCGTGTATCTCAAAGAGATACGACTTTCTCTCTCTCTCTCTCTCTCTCTCTTTCTCTCTCTTTCTCTCCTGTTTAGGTGGAGCCCGGTTGCTCGCGCACGGCCGGTGAATATCAAAGGTTGCTGCACGTGTCTGCAGCAACATTGTGTTCGCGTATTGCGTCGCGACTTGCCTACGTCGGGACTTCATCGTCCATCGTGCTCGAGCACTCCAACTCTCTCCTCTCGTAGGCAAGATGAATATCTCTCGTAAAAGTACGCATTGAACGCTGATCGAGATTATCGCTTGTAAGAACGCATATATACAAATGAGGAACAAGTACAGATGTGGGAAAGCGTCATTTTCATTAGCGGCTTAAGCTTCTTCATTTATAATCTATAGAATATATTAATCATGAATGGCAAAGAAATTCATAGAGAGAATAGTGCTTCTTCTTTCTTTTTTCTCTTATAAAACAAAAAAGGAATTATATTATTTTAAAATTGCGTCAGGGGGGCAGCTGTAATCAATAATAAAATGTAAAACAAATAGCTTTCAAGTTATCGCGGTGCACGCGCTAATGTCTTACGATCTATTTTACTGCGCAAATGCCTTACAACCCACATCCTTTTGCAGGAAACAGCGGTACGCAAAAAGTCGCTGATTATCGTCAGTGTTGCATAATACTTTTTCGCGGCGAACGTTTTGCGACCCGCATTTGCGTTTGGACCAGTCATCGCGATATCGAGTGAACGACGAGCGTCATTCATCAACATATAAATGCTATCATTCAATTAGAAATGCTAAGTACACTTCGAATACTTTTGGCATCGATATTCTGACCGTGACAATTAGAAAATGTGAAACAATACCATTGAAAATTTCAATGTACGATATATCCAATGATGGTTCACATCATTGACACTGAATTTAAACAATTAAAACTCGAATTTTAAAGTTTCTCTCGTCTAAATTTCTATTTAGGCAGAGTTTCTGCTCGAACAAATTTTTTTAATTAGAAAAGTTACGCGTAATAAAATCATGTATTATTATATCTACATCTTGCTGGAAATTCTTTCAGAGACTAACCTCGCGATCGATCGTGATCCGTCGATAGCGATCCCGTTTGG